TAATCCTCTTTGCATAATGAAACACAAAGGCGAGACACTTGTTCCGACAATTCATCCATGTGAAAACTATCTAAACAAAGAGGCATAGTAAAGAGGGAAAAAAGACCTGAATTATTGACGGCAAACAATAAACTAATTATTCAGAATAACATTAAGACTCCCTACCAATAATCATAAGCAAATTCCGGAAACTAAGAAAGTGTGTTATTAAATCATACCACATGAAATAAGATTTTCAATGGCCCTGACTGCCAATACAGAAGCATCGTGGCATGTTCCTTTCAACACATTCAGCAGAGACGATAAAGTTCGTTTCCAGTACACAACAATGACTTTGAGTTGTGATGCCCCCCAGTCAACAAGGTCATGAAGCCATTTGAAATCTAGAACATCTTCCACCATTGTCTTAGAAGTTCCAGACTTACCATAAGAATTGTAAAGTCTTTCAAACAGAATAGGGAAGATTTCAAGTAATCGTACACATGTCATCTGAAACAAGATGGATGCAAGATCAACTATGCCAGCTAAAAGAGGGGGGAGGAAGCCATGATGCATCAAACAGAAAAAATAAAGCTGCCAACAACATGGAAGCTATAAAAATTTACCAAGTTAGCTTAATGGAGAATGCAAGCATGAATCTCTCCCTCCATTCTATTTTCTTAAATTCTATTCGGTTTGCTTTTCGGTGACCCCAATTGGAGAGGCCATAGGCCCCGACCATAAAACAAACTGAACCACTAATCAAAACATCTGAACAGCTAAGAATATAGAAATTCATAACTTCCTTTCTTTGAACTTCTTTAAATAGGACCAACAAAGTCAGATCGAGGGAGTATAAGTAACAAAAGGGACAGAAAATCATCAGCATTTAGGCATGAACACAGACACACAAACTAGGAGGAAACTATTAAATCAAAGTGAGATGGAGGGAGTATAAGTAACAAAGGGGATAGAAGATCATCAGCATTTAGGCATTTACTAAGTGTTAGACAGACATTTGATTAAAGAAGAAAGGGAGAAACAGGGAATAAGACAAACTAGCAGGAAACTATTCAATAAAAAATCATGAAAAAATCTACCTGACAACGACTATTATCAATAAATGGCTTCCCTTCTGTCAAACACTTTCTTATCGGTGTCCATGCAGCTTCAGACAGGAAGTAGCAGAATTTGTCTCGTAATTCTAAGTCAACACTTGAGGAATGGCGACCAGAATTTACAGGCAAAGAATCAAAGAAAGGCTGCCTCAGAAATCCACCTTCAGATAAGTTTCCTAGTTGAACTGACTGAGAAGTGTCCCCTTCTTTAAGTAGTTTGCAAAGAACAAAGAGAAAATGATGTAGAATCTGAAAGTTCAGTAGAACAGAATCCAGTTGAACCTAATCACCAAATAAAGTTGGGTTACTGAAACAAGAAAGGAAATTTGTATAGGTACCTCGTTATCTTGATTTTGTTTCAATATGGGAAGTACCAATAGACAATCCAACTCAAATTAATGAAGAAAAAATCAGACAAATTACATTTTAACTCAGAAGGTTTACTGTAATATACAAAAACCCTCTACTTTCTAAAAAAATTAACAAAAATCCTATTTTATGAACTATTTTAGAATATGGCTCCTTTCCTATTAGTCATCAGTTACAAATTCCGTTATTTTTTTACACTACTTCATTATATATACATGATCAAAACAAGTTCATCTATTATTTAAAAGACCCATAATAACATACAATTGATCATTAACAAAAATTTTGTTTTATTTCCTTTTTCACAAGCTATATCAATTTTCTCTCATTTATTTTTAACAGGCTACATGGACTTTTCCTTGTACCACATACTAGTAGTTACGTAACTCTCACATCTAGGTCACATTTTTTCACATTTTTCTTTCATGAATTGTAAAATTCAGTGTTTCTTTCAGTTTTAAAGAGTGAGTTCTATATAGTATAACAAATTTCTGGGGCAAAAGGTAATTTGCCCTTGAATCATTAATGCATTGTTATTATCAGCCTTCTTAAACATTTTTAAAGAATAAAGGTTAGAGGAACTGAAAAAGAATGCACGTGGGCTCTCAGCTCTGAAAAAGACTAGAGGACCACCAAAACTCATACAGAAGACTATTAAGAATCCTAGCATCAAAATTTTGAGGTTTAATACAGAAGACATTTTCTCAACCTGCTATACCAAACAACTAGACACTGAAAAAAGCAGAGAGAAATAAAAATTGTGCCAATGATGGATTTTAATTCATCCTTGCATCCTCTTTTTTAAGAAGAAAACTGAAAAGACGAAGGGTTACAACCAACCAGTTTCAAAGCATGTCTGACACCCACAAAAACTGCGGACAAAGATGAATGGCATGAGGAGAGAAACTTCAAACCACAAGCAAGACCTCGAGTGTCAGAAACATGTTCCAACATACACTTGCCAAATTGCCTCATATTCTGCAATATAAGAGAAAAAAGGAAGAACAAAAAGCATGAGAAAAGACTGAATCATACTGAAATGGAAGTTGCAGCACATAGAAACAGAAGAAAGATAAATGAGAAGCAACAATTGGATTATTTTCTTTATTCTTTAACATAAGTTTCAACTTCAAATACATCATTAGGATCTAGAAGTGAGAGGATCAAGCTTTCGCCCATTTTTGGTTCCCAAGTCCACTGCTTTCTAAGTTCCACTTGCTCCATCAAAGTGAGAAAATATGTGGTCAATCTGCAAAAGTGCATCAGATTAACTTCTTCGAAGGGTCCAGAGTAATAACAAAAGGCTCACCCTTGAGTAGAGCTGAGGCCATAACACAAATGTGGATGAAGTATAAGAACTCAAGTCTAACAAAGAAAGAAATGCTAAGAACCTCTTGAATGTTCTTATAAGAGGAAGACACATTGTTGACACTTTCACTGAGTTTTTTGACTCTTCCCTACCACCATCATCAGAACCTGTTGGCACCTTCCACGCAAGTGCAGTAGAGATCTCTGTGACTGACGATGAAAGCCAAGCTTTAACATCAAGAACCATCTCACCACCATTCTCAGGTTCTACCAGACAGAGACGAGATCTTGCCCAGAAAACAGCTTTGGAGAATGATGCTGGAAGGATGAGGGGACTAATATCAACTAAAACATCAACCCATAACATGGGAATGCACATCCACCCTCTATATTCTCCTGATATAATTTTATTCTGTGCATCAAATTCATTCCAGGAACTGCCATCTGTTTCATCAATATCCTGTGGAAATGGAAGATTGTTGTCTTCATTGTCATCCAACTCAATATAAACATTTGTTCCAACCCTCTTAGGTACACTGCTGTTTAGCACAGAGCTTACTAAAGCAGCTGCATCAGACACCACAATAGTTTGTATGAGATCAAAGGCAGGTTGCCTCAGTGAGCTGTGAAGTGAAGAATCATTCAGACATGATACAATAGCAGGCCCCCTGTCAGATAAAATTATGGGGAATGAGTCAAGGAAGCTCATCAGTGCATATACTCTCAACAACAACCGAAATATGGTGATTATACGATTGTGTATGTGCAGAGACAAAAGTGTTTTCACACATTTTCTACCCACTAGATTTCTCTTCATCCTAAGACAGTTATCTATCTTCTTACCTTTAACAATTCAACTTCTACATTGTATTTAGAAATGCTCATAAAACCAAATTCCCAAGAAAATGTTAAAGAAAAAGGAAGCTCCTCATCCAAAAATGAGCAAGAAAAAGAAAAGAATGGTGTATGATACAATCAAGAAAGGAATAAGCAACCTAAAAGTACATACAACATGCCTTCTCCAAAAAAAAAGTACATACCACATGTGTGCACACTCAAATGGGGGGCATGGTGGATTCATCTGATAACCTCGAAGTATAATAAGAAGAGCAATCTGAAAATATAATCTCCCAAATAGATAACAGAAGAGATGAGTAAACTGCATATTTTCTCAAAAGTAAAAGATAAAAAAAAATATCAGTAAACCAAAGTATCCACTATATGATAAAGAATAAGAACCTTGCAGCCTATTCTTCTTGTCAATACACTGAAGTTACTGCTCACTGGAACCTGGTGAAGGAGAAAGTACAGAAAGTGCCTGCGTTGCTTTTCGTGCTCCCCGTCTTGCAAAGCTTCAAGTGACTAGATAGATAGGACAGATACATTCAGAATGTTACCAAAACCATTGATGTCATGGATGCGACTTAAAACAAGACTATTTACGAAAGAAAAGTACTTGAATAGTGTTTATGTTAAAGTATGGCAAGTACTTCATACACATGCCTGTAAAAAAGGCTGGAAAAGATCAAAAATGACTTTATGGATTTGCTCATTTCGAGTATGGAAACACTGACCCAACAGTGTATTGCGCATCACACTAGGAGACAACGTAGACCTCAACCAAAGCTTACAACCTTAAGAAACCCCAAATGGCAACACAAAAAGGATAGTCAATTAAGCTAACTCAAGTAACAAATTAAACTTATTTTCGGGGTGTATGGAAGAATAGAATACAAACCTAGCATTTTGAGGAGTTCCTTCAGAGAGCTAACTGCTTGCGAAAATTCAGGTGAATCACCACTCACATGATTTAGCACAATATCAAAAAATGTAGGATAGTGCTCCCATATCCCATCTTCAAAAGCTGGAGCTTCTAAGAACTCAAGCCTTCATGGACAGATATATTTTTGAAATTAATCATAAAATAGAAAATAAGAATTAATACATTATGAATTTAGCCACCAACACTTACAGTGATGTGATTCCAAGCCATATGGATAAGCGCTCTAGCTGTGCTCTTGGCCGTGAAGCCTGAGCAGCAGGAGGAAGACCTTCTGTCTCCAAAAAACCAATAAATTTCTTGAGCAAAGGTTGCAAAGGTTCCAAGTCAGTTGCTCTCCTACATAACACAGAAATAATCAATCCTTTTTTTCTGAAGTAAAAATGTATTTGTAAAGCACCAAAGGAGTGCAACTCATGTATAATCAATCCTTTTGGATGAGCACAAACCAATAATAAACCAAATGAGACTTTGTCCACGAGATTTGCTTCCAGTTAGCATAAATGAATTTCCCGTAAACCTTAAAGACTATAAAAGTTGTTTTTCACTCAAGCCAAACTGACACTACTTCCTTCCAAGGGCAGTTGACATGCTTATAGTAATTTCAATAGAATTTCAGAACAGGTGAATCTCAAAGCAACTGCGCAGGTCATTTGACCAGATTCAGTATGAAATGCCCTTTGAGGCTCATCCATCAAATTAGTAAAGAGCCTCTCTCTTTGGCCTCTGGGTGGGTGGGAGGAAGGTGACGGGAAAAATATGGCACCATCGACAAAAATAAAAGGCCTAATCACAAACAAAAACAGTAATATCAATAATAGTTAAAATTGTCAGAGCAGATGTCCTTCTAAACTCTGAGGTTTTAGATATAACATCCCATGGCCGAGACTCTTTTTTTTTTTGGAATAATCCTATGGCCAAGACTTAGAACAAATAGCTCATGGGGTCACTTTGCAATTGTTCTACATAAAACGAAATATAGATGTGACAGTCTCTACCTCAGGTTTTTCCGTATATATAGAAAGAAAAGGTCTTTTAAACAGAATTAAGGAGGAGGATTAGGTACCCTTCTGAAAGAAAAAGAAATAACAAACGAAAAAACAAAAGACCATGTGGATGCATGCCCAGACAGATGACTTATCACAAAGAATCCAGATAAGGGGAAAGATGATTCTTGAAAAAACTAGCATTTCTTCCAATCAATTATCCACATCTAGCAAGAAATGCCCTTCGCCAACTCTCCTTCTTCATACTCATGCTCTGAAGGAAAAAAACCATCAATTGTACCAGAAAAGACCAAACACCACCAGTACCAACAAGTTGGTTCTGAAATTCACCAAGTCACATCACAATACAATAAGAGATCTCCTTCTTCATACTCATGCTTTGAAGAAGAAAAAGAAAAAAAAAATCCATCAATTTTACCAGAAAAGATTACACCACCAGTACCAACAAGTTGGTGCTGAAATTCACCAAGTCACATCACGCTGGCACATCACTTTGCAATAAGAGATGACTTTGAGTCTCCATATGCCTAAAGCACATCAATATAGACCTGGTGATAAAGCTTAATTCTGCTTGTGAGCTCCAAGCATATTATTGGTACTAAGCATACACCAAATTGCAGTTCAAAGAAAAACTTTAACCTTGGAAGGAATAAGAACTTTCTAGGAACAGTCATGAAAAACTTTATTGTGAGATGCGAGATTATGAATCAGAAAACCAAGGTAAAGCTTGGAAGAAAAGATACCAGCGGATTCTAAGGAACAAAGTATATGGTCAGGGTTATTGGAGACTAATAAACTCAAGAAGCTACAACTTTCCCGTCATTAAGATTTCAAAATGAAGACATATTCGAAGAGTGAAAATTTATTTCAAAAAGAGAAATATTCAAAGAGTGAAAATAGTTAGGATGCTCCATAAAAAGAGGAAAGGGAAGAATGGTAAATTTAGGACGATGGGATATTTCGATAGAATGGCCTAATTCAGGAACCAAGGTGATGAATATAGAAACTAGTGTCAATTTTTCCATTTAAATGATACTCTTCAAATACCTTGATTAAATCCTCCTTAATAATCTCCAAATATCTCTGAAAGAAAGCCAAAGGAAAACCATCAGCCCATTATATCTTTCTAACCAACAAGCTCTCTCCCCTTCAATTGGAAACCAATTAAAGCCCTCAACAAAACAGCAATCAACAATCTCATCCTTAGACAACTGCTTATGATCTCACAACCAATAGTCTCTTGGTCTTTCTCAATTCTACCATTTTCAAGTTCTAGCTCCTTGATACAATTTTTCCTACTCCTATGGAAAAGACTAGTACTAGCATCCCCCTCCTTGATGTATTTCAACCTAGATATATACCTCCAAATGATTTCTCATTCAGAAAAATCCCTTAGACTTCATTTTCAAGGGAGGATGATCTCCCCATTTTCATTCTCATTAAGAGCACTATCCAAGCAAATCTCCCAAGAAGGCTTTACTCATGAGGAATTTCTTTTTCCTCATCCTAATGACACCAAAACCTTTTTCAACACTTTCAATTGATGCCTTGAAGAACTGAGCTTCTTCACAAACTCAAATCCCACCCACCTAGAAACAACCTATCTACCTACCAAATCTTAATGTCCTTAAGAAATTCGAGTAATTGAGGCACAAATTCTCAAAATGAAAGGGAATGGGGTCCCATCTCAAGCAACTAGACTCCAAACATATTAAAAAATAATAATAATCTGATACTGGGCGAGGATGGAACTTCTACACCAACTCCAAAAACTATCCACACAACAATTGGAAACTAAGAATTCATAAGTACGAGAAGAAACAATTTTAACCCCATTAAGAAACCACGTAGATTGAGGATTAGAGAGATGAAGATGTCTAAGCTCAATCCAATATAAGATAATAAAAACCCTCGTACTCAAAGTAGCCTAACTCTGGCTGAGCTTCTAAGACGAGTTTCTGCAAACATTGAAGTCATTCCCATTACAATTAAAAGGACTACACAAACCCGGAACAAAGGAAAGATCCTCCCAAGTAAAGTAGGACATTGAAAACAAGAGAACCACTAGTTACCCTTCACCCTAGTATCTCACATCAATAGGAAACCCCTAAAATCAGCCTTTCGATTTCTCAGAACATCACAATTTCCAGACTGACCTATAACATTGCTTCCTTAATGTTTAAGAATTCTCAATGTTGCTCCAAAGAAGACAAAATTTAGTAAATTAGTCCAAACTATAGAGATCCTTCATTGTAAACAATATCATAAGTTTAACCATTATGATTTAACAAAATGCAAAAAAAAAGGAAAAAAAGGAATTTCAAACCCAATCCATCTAACAAGACAATTTTTTTAATAATAATAATAACAATAGCAATAACAAAAAAGTCCAACGCACTCAAACCCCATAGAGAAACCTTCTTCACATATACTAAATTGCAAAAGAAAAGAAAAACAAACTCCAACATCACCATCATGTTTGTAAAATCGTCTCTAAGAAATCAAGCCAAACAACCAAAAGATAAGGAGAAAAGATAAAAATAATGTTAGTAATGTAATGAGATCGCACCTCAATTTTCCCATAGATCTAGCTAAACGATAACCAACTATCCGCACTCGTCTATTGAAAAAGAGCAATGCATAAACACCCTGAAAAAAGTAGAATACTTATGAGTCAGAAGACAAAAGGTTGTGTGCATAGTCATTAGGGAAGTATGCCAAAAGCTTTTCCAACAAAATACCGGAAACTTTTGATGCCCATCCAAAGCTAGTTCATGCAGACCATCAATAGCTTCAATAAATTTTTCAAATTCAATGAATAAGGATTGATCATCTAGCAACATTGGAAACATCAAGACCTGAGATCAAAAGGATAACAAAGGTACGTCAGGAGGAGCTTCACTATCTAGAATAAGACCAAAAAATGTCCAATCATCAACCAACTCAAGTAAAAAAAAATACATTGGAAACCATATTTCAAAAATTAGTGAGTAACAAAATTACATACATATGAAATTGTTTTGCATAGGCTAAGAACATAAACAATGAGATGCAATAAATCAAAAAGTGCTTAAAATAAATCCAATAAAGAACAAAGAACATCGTTATGAGGCGGGAAATAAACAGAGATGTTAAGGATTTATTGAACTGGTATCCCTTTCACATAGTATAAAGGACTAGACAATTTGTTACCATCTAACCTCATTTTAAGAGGATTTTTTTCTTTTCCCTCGTGAGCTATGTTCCTCTTTTTCTTTTTAATTCTTTACCAAAACAAGGGGAAGAGAAGCATTACTCAAGTGGTGTCTCCCTTTGATAAATAATAATAATAATAATAATAATGAAACTTAGGGATTTTGATGAAAAAAATATATATAAATACAAATATATATATACATGCACAAAGATGTTGAACTGCAGAAAGATATCCAGAAAATCAAACCCATAAACACAAGCAATAATTTAACCACACTTAACTAATATTGTTTATTTGAGGTCACAGGTCAGACATGGTCAGCAGTAAAACACATGCAAATGGCGCATTGCAAAGAGATATCCAGAAAATCAAGCCAATAATACAAGCAAACATGCAATCAAAATGAGCTTATTCAATGTTGTTTACTTGAGGTCACATGCCAAACTTAGTCAACATAGAGCTAAACCAATTTGCTAACATAGGTGCATTACATTCTATTCTTGCAAGGCCTTTATATGTCGATTTTGGTCCATTTTTCTCTCTCATATGTGTTATCAACTATAAGAGTTTCAGTTCTATGTAACAATGTAGCTTCCACCAATGACAGAATGTACCCAAAAAAGGCATACAAATATAATAAAGTTCCTTACATCTAAAAATTTCAAATTAAATCAGTTAACGATAAATAATGGTTAACACACTCTATTGACATAGAGTGGATTCATGCAGCAAATATCATAAGTCAAATACCCAGAGAAGACACTGAAACTCAGCAAAATATGGTGTTGACAAATAAATGAAGAATCCTGCAAATCCCAAGATGTAAGAATCATTGTAGGAAGAGATTAGAGAACCAAGTATATAAATTATTTGAAACGGTAGACAATTTTAAGAAAAGGATGCTTTATAAACAAATGAGCAGTCTTAAAGAAGGCCAACGCCAAATGATCTAATCATAAAGATACGCACAAAAAGATAGTGTTCATATCATTTTCGTATCATGACATCAGGTTCATTTGTTTGACAAATATCAAAAGAAAAGTCAAATGGCCCAAAAAGATAGTGAATTCTACTAAATACAACATTAACAAATGAATGAATAAAAAGGTAACCTTCATTGTAGGAAGACACTACAAAGAGATCACAACAAAAGATTTGAATTAGTAGCCTATCTTTAACATAATACAAGCCCTACTGTCAGATGGATGTCAAACCAATAACCAGCAACTTCCCCAACTTACCACCTAGCACAGCTGCTAAAGTCAATGGAAAAGGCAAACAGACATATATGTATAAAATAAAACACAGTATTACTAATTGATACGTAAAAGAAAGCAGCATACTACCTCATACATGACGCAGACAACTTCAGCATTATCATGCAGAGGATCATATTTTTCCTGTGCTAATCTTGCATTTATCTCTTGCAGATGCTGAGCCACCCTTTCTTCATCAAGGTTGTGCAACACAGCAAGAAGGGGACCAATGGAACTAAACTCGTACTCCTTTTCATACATCTCTAGAGCTTGATGGTGCTGAGAAACGCACTGGATACAGCGCCGCATTTCCTCAGAAATTCTCTTCCACAAGCGCTTAAGAGGAGAATCTTGACACTCATCTTTGAAGTAATTGTAGAATACCTCTAGAAGAGGCCCCATTATATCCCAACAGCCGCACCAAATGTGTGTTTCTTTTGGTAAACATATCAAGAACTTAAATGCATCACCAAACCTAATAAAGAACAAAAAAAGCTACATGACTAAATGCTAAAGCAGCAAGCTGAAGTTGGGAAAAAATTAGAAAGCTACATTAATAAATGCTAAAGCATCAAGCCAAAGCTGGGAAAAAATTATTATTCATGGCAAGATTTAACAACTGAGTGAACAAGCAAATATGTGAAAACAAAATTTAAACCATTATAAATGAAATACCAAGCTTCGCTCCTTGAATAGAATTCTTTCACAGTTTCCTATAATACTGATACCTCTTCCAACCCGTAGGAGCAATCAAGAAGTTTCAAAATACATAATAGGCTTTTCAAATCAAAGCAATCATCACCCTTCAACAATATTATTCAATTTTTT